ACAGACTAAGAAAAGCTGTGCAGGATCAGATGAAGGACCAATTTAATCTGGCATTCTGCTTCCTTTAGATTGTGAAAAATTGACAAAAACACAAACACACCTGGTACTGAGAATTCATTCATTCATATTAGCTCTGATATCAGAAATAACCGAATCATAAAAACTAGTACTCTTCATCCACCAGAAATGTATTGATTTAACTTATAGTGCATTTTTGGTTCCATCTCTTACTTAAAATTATCCATGTTAATAGTCATCACTGCATCTTATAGTTCACTTGACATAATCCTAAATCCTAGTCAGGATATTTAACAATGCTGAAACAGACATGGCCTTATCTCTTTACTTGCCCAACTTCTTTGAGTATCCTTTACCTCTTTAGCTTTGCTGCATAAGGGACAGAGTCTGAAAGGTAGAAAAGTAGGAGTGAGTGGAGAGGAATAACAGTGCTATTGTATGATTGCATTATGTCCTAGTTAAATGTTTTGATATTACTATACAATTTTGAGATTGTTTTTCTCTTTGTGATGGTTCTAGCTGCTCACATAAAATTTAAGGCCCCTCTCTTCTTGGTTATATATCAGATCTTCCTGCATTTTATAAATTCATTGTGCCAATAGTATGGTTGGCCTGCAGAATTAAAAGTAAATAGAACTTGAATGCCACAGTTTATAAAACGATTTTAAAAATGGTAAGCTGCAAAATGTTTTTTTTTTGGGGGGGGGGGGGAATCCAAGCACTTACTATTTTGAAAGTAATACATTGATTCCTTGGACTTCTTTAATAATAGGTCTTCTTTCTGTTGAAGATATAAAAATCTTGTTTGTATAGTCTACTGGGTTTTCTGAATACCCAAGACTAGATGTAGGTTACTGTAGTCTTTGAATTTTTGTTATGCCCTTAGCCCCAGGTTCTGTGAATTAAATTATTCATGAATGTACATTGGAGCATTAATCACTTGTAATGATTCATGAATGAGGTTATCTAAAAATGTTAAACCCTATGCTGTAATTATTCACACTGACAGTGTCTTGACATAAATCTGTTTGAAACTTTACAGTTGAACTGTGAAGCTAATTTATATAGAATTTTCTTTGAGAATTGTATACTGAAAACAGTTGTGTCTACTGAGCTGTCCATTTTTTTCCAGTGATACAGGCTTGTGATGAAGTTATAACATGAACTAGATCATATTAACCCAGCAATAAATGAACAGAATCACCATGTTTTTATATAACTATTTTTAAATTTTAAAGGGGAAAACATGCTACATGACTCATCAATTAATGCAGTGTCAATTGCATCATATGCTGGTATAAATTATTTGTTCCAAAACTACACTCAAGTGATGTGGCAAAATTTCATTAGTTTTATTACTTATAAATCCAAATCATCTGGGTATGTTCTACTTCACTGGTGATAGATATCACATGCAGTGATGTTAACTGTGTTAAGATATTAACCAACTGCACTCTTAATTGACTGATCAGTACAACATATGCAGAAGGATATGAAAATACCCAGTTATACATCTTAATCTCAGTGAGATTAATAGAGAATATTTTGCACATAAATGGTGCCTATGAAACATTTGCATGTTATGTTCATAACTAGTTTATAAAATATTAACATTTTAAAATTATATTAATTAGCAGTATGTTTTGTACATACTTTAGTCTGAAAATCTTCCTCAAATTGCAAATACAGATACGTTTTAGGAAAAAGAGATCTGATAAATGCCAAAATAGTAACATCAATGAGAAGACTAATTATATTATTTAACAATTCTAACAAAGTGATCCTTAAATTTGGGATTTATCATAATACCATTATGAACAAGATCCACAGAGCCCTGTAGAAGCATCATTTATAAATGAAAACTAGAAAGTAATTTCAGAAATATAGAACATTTTTTGCAATGCAATTTGGCAGTCTAGCATATTAGTCAGGTAATGTCATTTCAGTTCCTTTATCTAATATTGCAAACTAGTGTCAGATACACTGAGTTGAAAAGTTTTATTGCATTCTGTAAAGTTTAGGGACAGAATCATAATTAAAAACTATTTTGTATTTTTTTCAATTATGCTATTATTTTCAAGTCATATTTTCTAGATTTGAGATTATAGATATATTTTATTTATCTACATTAACTATAGCATTGCTCATGCCCAACGTGACTTTCATCAGTGAACTGTGTATTTAGTTTCATTATGAAACTTTAAGTTGTAAATTTATGATCACATCTAAAGTATATGGAAAATAAATTTTAAAGTTTTTGCAGTTTTTCATAAAGTTCTGTGTGTATGTTTTAATAGTGGGTACTACAATTACTTTTAAGGTAAAAATCCCTTCTCTTAGTTTAAGTTTTCTCTAAACTGTTCCTCTCCATGTCAACTAAGATTCTGAATATTAATCCCATCACATCTAGACACCATTATGTTAAAGATGGCTGGTTTTCTATTAGTGGTTATAGCTGCTGCTTCTGACTTAAGGCATATTTAAGAACTTTTAAAATTAGACTGCAATTCTTTATCTAGTGTTTGGAATAAAGCACTATTTAATTCAATAAGATTTATTGTGAATATATCTTTCGGATTGCTTTGTTATGTTTGATACAAAAATAACAACACTGTACTTTATTTCTCGGCCTTAAATTTCTTTGGGTGGAGGAATTCATTTAAAAAACAGTTCCACTTTCTTTTTCAATTACTTCACTTTTCATGGTTGCTCGCATCATTCTATTAATAATAGTTTACTATTGGATGATTTTGACTCAATCTTTTCCAGTTTGATATTTATCCCTTTTAACAAAATTGCTCACTTGCAACATGCAAAGGTGTTTCTGTAAGGATTGCCTTTTTAATTTAATGAAGAAACTAGTGTACTGAATATTAAGCACTTTAATTTTTTAAACCTTTGATCAGGGGTTTATTTCTTTATTATCATTATTGCAATTAACTGATTAGTCATTTATTTGTAAGAAATAACAATTTTCAGATATTTAAACGGTTCACAATATTTTAGATAACTTTGTATCATTCATTTGAAACTACAATATTGATCCCACTTTAAAACCTATTTAAAATTCATGCTAATGCAATGTAAACCAATATGAAGTTAATATTGAACACATGAATTCACATAAAATACTTTAAGAGAAAATTGTGCAGGTATTGAAAAATGCTCTAATGTATCTACTTAGTAATGAGACTTTAGGTAAATTCAGCACACCTGCATTTTTGATGCTTATAAATATAACAAAAACTAAAATTTATTTTAAATTTTAGTAATAGACATTCATCTACCTGTAACATGGAAGTATCATGTGCACACATACAGACATATGCAGCTATTAGTTTATCTTCCTAGTTTAAGATTTCTATTAAAAACTTAATAGTAAATTATGAGTAAATGCAGGATGATGGAATGGCCATATCATGTGATATCTGCCTAGTAATTTCTCATCCATAATCTTGATCCTAACCTACATACATACATAATCCTAACCTACGTACATTCCTAACACATGAGAGGTATGAACTTCAGAATGCAGTACGAGAAGGAGTACAGGGATAATTCTTTTATCATTTTGTTCATATACATCCTAGCATCCTACCTTTACTACAACATGCATTTGCTTTCCAGAATTGGGATGCAATGAATGATCTTTCTAATCTCTTTTCCAGCTACTAATTGGTTAAAGAATCCCCTATGTGCCTGTCAGATCTAACGCATTTCAATCGGCCAAGGTCGAAATTATACCACTTCATTGCCAGCTCTAGCTTTGCAGTGATAAGAAGAGGCTGCTCCTCCTTTGGGACAAGCTCTTTGGAGACAACATTCAGAGAAACACAGCATTTCGTTCCAGAGCTTCCTGGGCGTGTAAAAAAAACAGACGGGTCTGAAGCTTACATTTGAACTCTCCAGCCTTTTCTATGCCCCCTCCTCCAAAAGCCAGCTTCTCTTAGCTGCAATCTTTGCACCCAGTTATTATTGGAGCTCGCTGTAGCGTTTTATGAAGTGGAGAAGCTGAGGTCATAGGAGAGGATTTTTATTCGAGTGCTAAAGACGCAAGGAGGGCACCCCCCCCCCCCCTCCCTGTCAGCATGAGGCAGCAGGACGCAAGGTCCCGGCGAGCTGGCAGCTGTGACTTTGGATCCCCATACGCGCTTTCTGCCCACTTTCATTCCCTTTTAATGGGATTTACCTGCTTAATGGGGCTTTTAACGGGAGAGGAAGAAGAAAGGTCTCGTTCTTTTCTGAAGAGCAGTTCTCTTCCTACAGCCCCGGCTTCAAAGCCACAAAATCACACCAAGGTCCGCGGTATGTCTTTCTGTGGGAAGTTCTCTACCGCACTTCAACTTAGCCGCACGTTCATTTGACTTGGTATAAGTCTCCGTGTATCATGAAGTCCTCCCCCCTCCCCTTTCCAAGGGCGGACCTCATTTACAGTCTCGTTTTGTGGACGAAAAAAAAGAGTAGTACTAGCGGCAGCGGCTGAACAATCTTCAGACCTAGCGGAAGAGATTAGTTGTCAAATCTACGCCCGAGAAAAGGAGCAACCTCGTCCGCCTCAGCACTTGGCGTAAAATCTAATAGGCAAGCCACCCGATTTGTGGGCATCCCTCCCCCGCCTAGAAGAGGCAATTCGAGGACATGTGGAGTAGTATTTGCTCAGCTTCTCTTCACCACCACCCCCCCTTATTTCCCGCGAAACTTGTAAGGTGCCGTCGTTGGATTGTAAGGGGAGACACGTCCTATTGCATAACAAACCGCTTTCTCCTTCGCCCTCTCCCTTGAAATGTTATATGCAATGCTCATACTTCTCTCCCTGTGAAGTTTTAATTAGGCAGCCATGGTAACTCACTGTTCTCCCGAAGCCTCATTCCGGCATGATGCTGAGGCTTGTGTCAAGGCACTCTTGATCCTCGGGGAATCTGGGGGCAGCGTCTGCAGGTTCCCCAGAAATTTCGGCTGATCTGTAGCGCGAGGTTGCTTACCTTACAGCGTTTCTTTAGAAATAAGTAAAGGTCAGTGCGGTTCCTTTGCGATGATGCATCTCTATCGGCTCACTTCTGGAAGCTTGCAGAGGAACGATCCGCTCTCGCAAGAGCATCTGCTGCAAGATAACTACCGAGGAGATTTAAAAAAGAAAAAAAATGTATCTTCTCGGAGACCCTCAACCACTACCAACGCCTGCTTTTCTCTCGCTCTCTCTTCTTCCTCCTGGTTAGATTTCGCAGCCCAACATTAACTCATTCGTGAGTCGCGGAGGCAATTCAATGCCAGAGTAACGGCAGAAACCACGCAGTCCTGGAATTGTCCTCATTTACTGAACTCCCTCCAATGGGATCTCAGATCTGTTTAAAAATAAATAAATAAAACGAGGGCGGGAGGCTGTTGTAGGGGGAGAAAGGCGGAGAAAGAGGAGTGGGTGGTGGCGGCGGCGGGGGGGTTTCAAACCTGCCTCCCAGACCTGTTCACTTAGAAGCATTTTCTGCCGTTTCCACTCCCCCCCACCCCACCCTCCTCCACCATCACCACCGTCCTCCCGGTTTTGCAGACAGGGTGCTCGAGAAAGCTGGCTTTCCTCCTACTTTAGGCAACGCGCGGGAGAAAGGAGAGCGCGTGCTGCCAGCCTGTCGGTTTGGGCTGTGCGAATGCGCGCCGGCGCGCGCGGCCGCCTCGCTCCGGAAAAAGGGACGGGGGGGTGGGGAATTGCCGCTGGTTCTCCACTAGGGAGAGTTGGCGCCTTCTTCCGACGCCGGCAGACCGCGGGCGGGGAGTGGGGGCCCGGAGTTGTTGACTTTGAGGCGAGCAAGGCCCTTCAAGCGACGACTTTTTGGGAGTGGAGAGCCGTCGAAAACAGCCACGCCGCACCGGCGACGGCACAAAACTCTTGACTCTGACTTCCCCATCTGGAAACATCCCCTCCCTCCGCCGTTATTGTCCCAAAGGTGTTTTTTTTCAAGAGGCGGTTGGACTTTCTGGTTTCTCTTTGAAGCTGAAGAAATGTCTTGGATGAGAAGCGAAACGTCTTCAAAGAAAAACCAGAAAGTCCAACGGTCTCTTGAAAAAAAGCACCTTTGGGACAACCGTGACCTTGATGACTGAGAATCTCCATAGACAACCCGGTAATGCAAAATGTAACCAAACTACAATTTGGAGCTATAGGGGCAAGGATCATTTGGGTTCTTGACCAACAAGTAATGCAACTTGCACAATGAAGAAATGAACAGTGGGACCGAAAGCAACGAAACTTTTCCATTTAACTGTACTAAAACCTATCCACCTGACTTATGTTTAGTTTTGTATTGTGTCTCCTTATTCCAGAGTTTATTTCTTGAAATTATTTCTGTAACTACTATCAGAAAGCTGCAGAAATCTCCAGGCTGGTTGGGACAGTTCCATGTAACTTTTAGAAACTGCATTTAGTTTTCCAGGAAATATTGAACTTGAGTGGGTGTAAGTAGCACATAAAGGATATTTTGAATAATTTGCAAGGATTAAATGCACTGCAGTAGTTAAACTTATCAGTAAGATCCAAGGCCTATAAGATCTTAGGAGGCTTCTCTATTGCACGTGTTTAGATCTATTTTTTATACATGACTTATTCCACTGACAGTTTTTAGACACAAGTGGTTAAATCTCCTGTCCCAGGCACCTATCCAAGTCTTCCTTAATCTCATACTGGTAGCAACTGATGCCTGTCTTAGTGCTAGCAAGTGATTCTCTGTGGTAGGAGAAGCACAGTCAGGAAAATATATCAATTGTTTTCTTTGTCCCATGTTAGAATTATAATTCTCAGAAACTGCCTGGACCAGTCCCCTACAGTTTTCTTGGTAAGGTTTTTCATAAATAGTTTTCGATTGCCTCCTTCCTAGGACTGAGAGAAAGTGACTGGCCCAAAGTCACCCAGCTGGCTTTGTACCTAAGGCAGGGCTTGAACTCATGGTAGCTCAATGTCTTAACCAATACACCAAAGTGGTGTTTTCTTTACTCTTGTGCTAAAACTACCCAGACTTCAATGCATCAATCATAACCAGTAAACAGTTTTCCTACACCATTAAATAGGAAGCAGAAAAATTTTTGATTTATGATTGATTTTTTTTTTAGAATGGGAGATCTGTGGAATAATTTTTTTGGCCTGAACTATTGGTTGACTAATGTTTTCTAAGTGGATCGTTTTCATGACTTTTATATGAGCACGACTCATAGTTTATGCCAGCTTTGATGCAACCTCATCATAATTTCTGTGATGATTGCTGTAATATCATGCACTGATAAATTATGGATGAGTAGGATAACAGCTATCCTATTATAATCTGTTTATTAAATCTCTGCAAAGCATACATTGTCATTACTGCCTCATTCTAGCAATAAGACAAGATAGAGCTATATTTATTTTGAAAGGAACTAAATGCTGCAGTCATAACAAGTAGCTGGTATCAGCTACTTGTATGACTGACAACTACATGGTTCAACGATATAATGTTAACCTTCAGTGTTTACCATGCATGAACAATAAAAGGAAGTTTTTTACATTGTCGGTGTTTGAAAATGTTTTCCATTGCAATTATATCATGAATAATTAGTTATCTGTTGTCCTTATCTGCAATCAGGCTGCTAGATCTGAAAGGTGTTGTTTAATTTAATTAAAACCTACATTCATCCAAAAAAGTAGAGTTAGCAATGTGGTATGTTCGTCCAGAAGGGATTTTGCAATTAATGATAGTTTTAATTATTAAATTTTGGTATCATAATTCTAACTGCGCAGTGTCAGAATTCAGTTTGTTTATAACCTATTGATCTATTCTTCATGCATTGTTATATTAGCAGCCATCTTGCTTAATGTACAGGCTAATTTTGTTAGAGTGTTCATTTCCATAGTGAGGAACCTATAAAGTTACTTAGTTTTGTTTCAACTGTCTCATAACTGGAGGCTCACTATACATCATGGACCAACGAGCAAAGATGGCAAATACCTATTAATTTGGGTGACAAATCTCTGTGTGCTTTACATTCCTTGTTCTATTAACCAGTGTAATTCTATTCTTTCTGGGCATGTGAATGTATCTTAGATTTGGAAACATATAGTTTCAACTTGGATACCATATAATTTCAACTGGGAATATAAGCATCCAAGCCAAGTCCAAAACGCTGGAGAATTCCTGGAAGCATAGTCCTCAGTATACATAAATCTACACACACCATTTAAAAGAGACAATCAAAAAGCCAAAAAGAAATCAGAAATACCAAAACGTCTCTCACCAGCAATGATACAGATCAGCATAGATCAAATATTAGACTAACAGTCAAAAAGCAAGCAATACTCCAATCAAGAAACTGCCAAAAAACCCTGACAGTAAACAAAACCAAATCAAAGGAATTACCAAGACCATTTCAACCAAAACTGACAGGGCAAACCTCTGGTATATAAAATCAGAGCAAACTCCACTCCCTACTAGCACTGATGATGTTACATGGTTCGTTAATGAAATGTCTAAAAGAAAACAACCAAGCTCGGAAAGTGCCAAGAACTGCACATTAAATAAACAAATATTAAAATATAAACATAAAATGATAAAAGTTAAACACAAAAGTAAATATGGGGAAGGCCTATGTTTTCTGACAGAAATAAGCTGTTCACGTTTCAAAGGTATGAAAAATGCAAAAGCTATGCCAATAAAATACTGTGAAATAACATCTGGAGAGTCCATTTTTTCATTTTCTAGTACTTGCTATTCTTAAAAGTTTAAAAAGTAAATGCTGAAAGTTTCTGTAGCAAGTCATTACTGCAATACATTCTCATGTCAATTGTTTACAAATTTTCTTCTTTATAATTTGTCAAATAGTTTATAATCAAACAGTTATTCTATAATCAAATCAGTAATACAATTACATCAAATGTTGATAGGAAAAATAACTCTTCTTTGTCATGTTTTAATAATACAATAAATCTGGTTTTAATCAAAACAGTAAAAATCGAAAATATTCACAGAAAAATATTTTTGTAAGTTTTCCAAAGTAATGGTGGATCACTAGTAGGAAACCAACATTTATTCACTCACACTTACCAAGTGATCTTAGCTGTTTGTATTCAGATTAACTTTATTCACAAAGTTTTTTGAGAGATAAAGTGGAGAAATGGCAAAAGTGTTAACTGTTGAATTCCTGGGGGTGGGGGTGGGAAACCCACTATAAAAAATGTCCTCTGCTAATGAGAAATTACTTAAAAATTCTCATCAATCTTCCGCATATTCTTTATAATTCTCATCAATCTTCCACATAGTACATATTTTCCCATGGTACTTGGGCAAATGTAATATGCTACTTAAGGGATGGGCCACAAAACCACTCCTGCCCTTGGAGTAAGGTTAGGGTAGTATCTAATAACACTAATATCTGAACAGAATGGCAATAAATCTCTGTCATGAAAAATGTCTCTCCTCCCCCTCCCACTTACAATGTTCATTCTGTGCTGGAATTGGGCTGTAATTCCCATTCCTTTAAACTACTGTCATTTATTCACGCATACATCACTCGTACCAATAAGGCATCGCTTATAACAGTCATGTTTCTTTCTTTGCAATTTTTTAAATAAGGTATCTACATAAAGAAGAACCAAATTTGTAATCATGATTTTCCTACATATTTGTTCTTACTCAACAGTGTTGAAAACAGCAGTTTGTGAACAAATTTGCCCACTGGTGCGGGTGTAAGAATACTGGATGGCCAGTCATATTCCTCTCTACCCATAGAAACAAAAGGCAATGGGAATACAATATGTCGTTGGACAGTTTATTATGTCTTTTTGGATGCTTTGTACTCATGTGGTAGTACTTGTCTGGAATGGAATGTCACCACCAGTTCATTCTGGTGTTAATTTCCTTCACTTGTCATGTTTGCAAGCCAACACATCTTTTTGGCAAAATATCTTATTAAACTTATCTTTAGCTTTATCATTATGTTCCTTTTCTTGCAGCACAGTTGCTGTTGGTATGGTCAACTTCCGTGTGTCTTTCATATTTTATCTCATAGTGGTCAAGATACCATTCCAATAATGAATCATTCTTGTACGTGTGGAGGTCTAAACTAAAGGCATTAATGTCCATGTTTCTGCTATAGTTTGATAAGAGTTTTTGTTTTTTATTTACTTTAAATTAGCAAGCTGTCAAAATCAAATGATAACAATAAATTTTATTTCTTACCAAATGATGCACATTTAAATATTATTTTGACCACTTAGTGCTTTCCCTATTTAAATAGCTTTCACGGTTTGGGATATAATTACAGGCATAAAAATATTATCAAGACTGCTCCAGTTTCACTAGGGCCATTCTGATTTCATGTCAAGATTTTTGGCTTTGTTAAATTGGAAAGAGATAATTTCTTTCAGATATTAACTGTGTTTGACTGTTCA